TTCTTCACCTTCTGATTTGAAGTTACCCTGCAGTGCAGCTTCGATATTATCAGCACATCTATAATATATTGCTCCAGTGAATTCTTCTAAGTCTTTAAGCTCTACATGAACGGCCAATTCATCCTTTTCATAACCAAGAGCAAAATTATTTTTATTTAAACTCCAGTCTTGTGTATTAAGTTGAGTTGATAGGCCACCCAGAAAGGAATTGTAACCCAAAACAAGTGATGCATCAACGTTTGGACCATTCGTATCAATGTCACAACTGATGTCAAACTTGACATTTTCATGCGAATATGCACCGAATATCTTACCTTCCTTCTCACGTGTATTCAATTCATAACTGCCCTTGATGCCAACCTTAACCCCTTCAGCAATTTTGTCAGAACAGGAGACTTCGGCGAATAACTTATTATCGGTATTCCATTTTTCAATCAAAGTCAAACCATAGTCAGGAATTACATACTTTGAATCAAGTTGACCAAAAACTTTTCCATCATCCTCTTTGGAGTAACCAGTTGAGTTTAAGTCGAGACCAGCAGTCGTCTTCGCATTGCACATAATCTTCCATAACCCAAAGTGGTAACCCTTAGTAAGAACATTACGTGCCCAGCTTCCAATATCTACGTAGGATGGCGGAGCCATTTTTCTAAATACAGCAGGTAGTTCTTAGATTCAGACTATAAAACAAACAGAAAGCTAAACATATTTTATATTAATTTTTTTTCTTATAAAAATGTTGACTACAATATTTATTTTTATAAAAATTTTTGAAACTCAAAGTTAACTGAGTTTTACGAGACACGTTTATACATATTATTAATAACTTTGTATAATCGAACTATACGCTGTGTGTAAATAATAAATAAATTTTGGTATTAATTAAATTATTTTAAAATTAAAAGAAAGCATTTTCAAACGTTGCAGTCCACTGCAGTTGTAGAAAAATTATGAGAGACATGGAGAAAAAGGAACCAATGTAATGACTGATATATGTATAGTAATGATATTGATAAAAATCATCACTCTTAACTGAAACTGTTTGATATCTATGTATTTTTTCAAGGGGTTTGATGACATGACAAACCATTTAATTGAGGTTAGAATATATATAAATTAATAAGACGTAGATAACTATTGAAACTATTTGGTGAAATGGAATAGGCTTAGAACTTATCAATAAAATAAGATTAATTCTTAGAGTTCTACAATTGAATCACAATTCGCACATAGTCATAATAGAAGTTCTGGAATTTGAAAAATAAATACATCAAGTGTAAATAATACCTGTATCTATGAATTACCAAATAACGCCCATTTAATAAACTTTTATTATTGAATATGTGTTTACTGATATAGTAGGTTACTGTATAATCATTTATCACAAATTCTTTAGAATATTTCAAATTTTTTTTTCAACTTATTTCAATAAAAATAATAATTTTTATTTAAATTAAATACAAATAAATAAAAAAAAAATAAATAAAAAAAAAGATAAATATAAAAAAATTTTGTCATCATGACAAAATGTAATGAATAAAAGAATTTATTATATGCTTAAATATATGTTCCGTACTTTTTATCTTGGTATCAAATTGTAGTATTTCGTAGGAAAGGAAAAGCTTTTAATCAGCAAACATGTAATAAATGAATGCCAACAAAGGAGCTGAGCTTTAATTTAGTGGCATGCAACACAATTTCTATCCATTTTCCTGCTTAATCACATAAATAACACATTAGCATTCTATAAATCACATCCGCTTCACTTTGAAATTCATAAATTTTCATTTCTAACACTACTCTAAGTATAACGGATACACGCTCAGGATGATAAATGTAACCAAACACCTATGCTAGCAGAGATCTACGCACCCGAAACCAACTCCAACGCACGAATAAACCAACTCCAACGCCAACGCTAACGCCAAGACCATGAGCCAATAATAGTCGCAATGGTTTACTTAACACTTTACACCCCACTCCTTGCGGCTGTGTTACTTACGTTTTCATTTAAGTTGTAATACGCACCAATGATTACCGCTTTCGAAACACATTAAATACCTTAAAGTAAGCAAAGGAATACGCATCAGGGCAATTGCAAGGATACGCTTCAAGACAATTGCTGAAGTCGGTGTAAGCACGCGTCTACTAATGTTATTTAATATTATTTGATTTTTATTTTCTTGAATTTTTTCCTTATATTTTTTCTATTGCCAGTAGTTGTTTCCATAGCAGAAAACAATTGTTCTTCCGCACTCTGGAGTGCGAACACTGAAGTACTAATTTTTTTAATGTTTGCTATTTCGTGGCTGTTTTAGTGGCGTAGCTCTCGGTTAAGCAGTTTGCTCCATGTATTTTACTTTTTGCTGCAGGAGGGTATATCATTAAGGTGAAAATTATGCTACTAATTAGCTATTTTGTAGCAACAACGGCAGATATTGTAGCATCGGTAATCGTGCCAAAATCAGCAGCCAACACCGTTTGGCATTTGCCAGGAGTAGCAATAGAAAGGGAACGAGTCCTTTGAATGCAGCAAGTCTGGCAGTGAAAGCATTTCGCTGTGCGTAGAAGTTGAAATAGCTCAATACTTCTTCTATTCTTTCTTGATGGTTGTAAAGAATTTGACTTTTATGTTGATTTTAATTGTGGTTTAATTAAACTGTAGTGGCTTTAGCCTTTTCACACTTCCTTCTTACTTCTAGTTTATATTGCATTTAATATTACACTCTTGCTTGCAATTATTAGAACGTTATAAGACATAACAATGAACTGTAGTTAGTGGGATTGAAAGGATGAAATGGAGTAAGTGGGGGATGAATCAATGAAATAGCATATTGTGGTTTACGAAGTTTTCTCAAGTATTTATAAAACTAAAACAAATTAACTAAATTTTAGTAGATTATTAAAACGAATAAAACTAGTAATATTTCTCTTATTATAATCGAAAAACAAATTAACTATTTTCAGGATCACTATATAAAAGTTCCATAAACTATATATATGTATATAAATTATATATAATGTATATAGTAATATAAAACTAAATGTATTGTTAGTGTTAGTTAATTTGTTGATTAAGATCCTTCTTTTGCAGTTGAAAAGAGATTGGAGAGGTATACAGATCTGAGGTCAATTATTGCTTAATCTGATGAAGTGATAAACAATAATGTAGTCAAGGCGTAAAGAGGGGTTTTAAAAATATCTCGAGTTAAGAATGGGTAAAAGTGCACTGGCTCAAATAGAAATAAATGAATAAAAATTGTTTATTCTTCTCGTTTTATAATAAGTATGTAGTTACATACATGTTCAAAGGAATAATAGTTAAATGCTGTACTTAAAAGTAGTTATAACCTACCTGTCCTGACTGAGAAAGTTAATGAAAATTATTTTAATGCTTAAAAAAAAACATCTATGAGAAAGGAAGTTAGGATAATATATTTAAATCAAACTCAGAGCTGTAGCTTGTTTAATTGAGAAAGTTAATAAAAACTTTAAACATTCTTAAAATTTGAAATTATCTTTTAATTTAAGTATGTTAACAATTTAATCTAATTTTTAATAAACAACATCATACCTCTTTGATAGTTTAGCAGACTGTTCATCGGTGAACGCAAAAAACCTATTAAATTATCTAAATTCGACGGGTTGGATTTAGTCTCAACTATTCTATACTAGGATTCTTCCGAGGAATATGGTAGCAAAACGGTAAAAAATCGCTAATTGAGGTATATGGAAGTTATCTAATAGCCTGCCACTGCAACCGACGAACCAACAACATACTTTATTAATTCGACTAGGGTATCTATTTGGTCTAGTACTGCTAACAAAATTGTGATAAAATATAAATATGATTAAAGTCATGAATTACTAATATGAAACATAATTTATATTTCATAATTTTGAAAAAATAAACCTTGAACTCTGTTTTGGTAATGTTAAAAAATAAACTGTCAACTTAAATATTAGATGATATCAGAGCTTTTTCGGAGCATTTTCGAAGCATTTTCATGTTGAATACACAATTATTTTATAATTTATTTTAAAGCTTACGGCATATTAAAATATTAAATGTCGTAAGAGCAGTACTAATAGCCACAAAGTGAAGTTAAATTTTAATATTTACTAAAATGCTAAGTTCAGCAAAATGTATTTGAAATGTCCAACAACTACAACAATAACAACAACAACAATAATAACAACAACTACAATAACTACAGCAATAAATAAATAAAATAATAACAAAACCAACAGGAGCAAAACATTTTAAATACGCATAAAAGTTGACAGAAAAAAGGAATAAAAGAATTTTTACAACATTTTAATAGCGAAAATGAAGATTTATTACTGTAACGGTAACAGTAAAGACAGTGGCAGCGCAGCGTCAACGGCAGAGGCAACGACAGTGGCAACAGCAATAAAGACAGTGACAGTAAAAAATGTTGAGAAAAAAAGCTAACTTGTCCGGTAACGTCACTAAAATGAAAAAGTGCAAAATCCTTGCCTTGCTTGCCTTGCCATGTCACGTCAAAGTTTTACGTGGTGGCAACATTAACGCTTGACGTAAATTTAAACGTGTGCGTAACTGTGTGTGTGTATTGGTGAGTCTCTGCAATGGTTTGGCACATCGTCATACCACAAAAAATTCGTTTGGCAATTTTCTTTGTTTTTGTTTTTGGTAAAATGTTGATACCTTAACGAAAGTGAAGTGGATCCCCTAACGCAAAATGCAAATTTTTAGCAAAAATTTTAAATTTATCTAATACTTTTTTTTTGCTATCGTCACAAGTCACAGCTGCCGTTGCTTAAATTTACTAATTGTGTACAAATACAATTTAAAGAAATGAAAATCTCTATCTAAATTTATTACATTACCTTGAGCACGAAATTCCTTCACACTGTCAGCTTTCAAAGAAAATTTCAAAATAAATTTTCTACCAATGTTTTTTGAAATGATTTTCTGTTGCTAATTTTTGATCTCTAATAGTAAAGATTAACTTTTTTTTATTTCTGTCATTACTAAAAATAATCTTGATTTTATTTTAAAAACAAAAAATACAAATATTTCAAATTAAAAAGCATACTTAGATTTTTAAAATAATGAAAAGAATTGATACTACAACAATCTATAACAAACTAATGGTCTATAAACAATTACTGAAGCCGGCTTGGACTTATGACATACAATTCTGGGGTTGTGCCAGCAAGATACACATTGCAACTATCCAGCGCTTTCAAAATAAAGTACTACGTTACCTCTTAATTGCTCCATACTACATTAGAAACAGTGATCTTCATCGTGATCTTGGCATGCCAACAGTCGACGAAGTGGCTAAAAGGTGTGCCGTTGCTCAGAAACAGCGTTTGAAAACATAAATCAACGTTACTGCATCCAGTCTTCTCCAGTCGGTTGCACTTCCTAGAAAACGACTAGCAATACAGCTTCGTTTTTACCTTAAATATTCCAATCAAAGTGCTTATTAGTACCTCTTATTTGTTATTTGTACGAGATGCAATATTAAAACGATTTTTGTCTATACCTATTTTAAGAAAAGAAATACTTGATATATACATTAATATGTACAGTACATATGTTAACTCCACAAGACCTTGTCAGCAACTTACCTTACTCACTTATTAAATACCTT